TATATAACAACAATAAACGAAAATGCAATAAATAATATTGCTAGATATGGTTCATCTTGTAATTGCCAAGATCCAAATGCTCCACTATCACCTATTAAAAAAATCAATTATATAATCAATATTTTGGTGAACATTGAAAATGTTAGTTAATTAATATAGATTTACCTGTGAGGAAATTATACATTGCCAGCATTGAGGAGTCAAAACGTGCAAACATGTTTGTGTTGCTGTCAGGTTGTTGTACAATAATTGAATTCTGGTTATATGTTTTGTCACTTGTAAAATATGTAAAATATTTAGAAGCAAGATTCCAAGGATTATTGGAATCATTAACTTTGAAATCAGGGCTGTCTAGTGTATAATCCTGATTTGGTTTCAATATCATATAAAATGCATGTGCAAAGCTTAAAACAATTAAAAATAGAATCATTAAAAATGAGAAAACTTTTCTTGCAACTCCTAATATTATTGCAAAATATCTTCCAAAATAATCTAAGCCTCTTAAAAATAACATGAATTTTAAATCTAATATTAAATTTGATAATGAAATTAACCGGACATGTGATGATGGGTTATTATCAAGTAACAATAAAATTGAAGTGGTGACTGGTAACAAGTAGGCTCCAAGATCTATTAAATAATAATTAATAAATATTATATATAATGACCATAATTAATGGAATAATATCATACCAAAACAATTCCAGATATCAGTGAGATATCTCTTAGGGTTCCAAATGAATTGTCTCACTTCAAAACTAAAATGAAGCAATCCAAAGATAACTGCAACAAATAATAGTGAACTTCTCTTTTCATCAGATAATTGATGTGGTGAAATGGAGGTTGCAATTACAAAGCATAATAAAAATGCTGTATAAAAAATCCAAATTCCAATGTAATATCTAAATCCAAAATTGTCCCATTTGTGATTCAAGATTACTTGAATATTCCAATGCTTATACAATTCTAAAGTATCAAAAATATCTAATTGAGTAAATACACTATTTGTTGGTTTATATATCAATTCTCTCCAACTTTTATAATCAATATTGTAAGTGAGTAATCCAGGATATTGGATTGTTAATGGTACACAAGGTACATTTGAATTTCTATCTATAATAAAATAATTATAATAAGAATACCAAAAGTTTTT